TGCCTCGGAAACCCAAGGAGGGGTCGCTATGAGACGGGTTTGACTCGATGGCACATAACAACAACAACAACAACAATGTATATATAAATATAAATATATATATATATATATATATATATATACATACACACAACACACACACACAACACACACACAATGTATATATCAATTTTCTTCTGGGATTTTATACAATTTTCTAAATAGCTTGACTCAGTTTTCTTTGTTCTTCTTCTATGGAAATTATCACAGGTTTAATAGAGAACTCAATGAAAGTAATAATAATTACAAAGTAATCACTTATTGAGCACAAGAACAACAGTTGTTAGGAGCTGTTGAGTTGGCTCCAACTCATAAAAGCAACCCTGTGTACAACAGAATGAAACACTGCCTGGTCCTGCACCATCCTTACAATCCTTCTATGCTTAAGCCCATCATTGCAGCCACTGTGTCAATCCATCTCATTGAGGGTCTTCCCCTTTTTCACTGACCCTCTGCTTCACTAATCATGATATCCTTCTTCAGGGACTGGTCCCTTCTGACAACATGACCAAAGTAGGTGAGATGAAGTCTGGCCATTCTCCCTTCTAGGGAGCATTCTGGGTGCACTTATTCCAGGACAGATTAGTTCATTCTTTTGGCAGTCCATGATATTTTCATTGTTCTTTGCCAACACCACAATTCAAAGGCATCAACTTTTCTTCAGCCAGTCCTTCCCAGTCTGTCATAGTCTGGAAGCTCTGGGTCTGTCCACCATGGGTGACCCTGCTGGTACTTGCAATATCAACGACATAGCCTCCAGCCTCACAGCAACAAGCAAGCCACTATACTGTGACAAATTGACAAACCAGTGGTGGGTTCTAACAGTAGTCTTTGGTATTTCCCACTAATTACTTTTTTAACCCCTTTTTAACAATCCTCTAATGTTAATATAGGATCTTTGGTAGTGTAGTGCCCAAGGCACTTGACTGCTAACCAAACGGCTGGTGGTTCAAACCCACCAGGCTCTTCTCAGAAGGAAAGTTGGGCAATCTACTTCTGTAGTAATACAGCCACAGAAACCCAAGGAGGCATCGCTATGAATCGGGTCCGACTCAACAGCACATAACAACAAAAACGTTAGTATGTTAGTTTGGCCTGTTTTCCAGATGAGGAAGTGGGTGCTTATAAAACTCATTTACTTCTAACTAAAAGCAAGTGCATTAATAGAGAATTGATTTGAAAAGGGGCAGTCTCACTCCAGCTCTTTTGCACTTAATTGCTGTGTGTAAACTGCTTCCAAGTTAATGAAGGCCTGAAATGCATTGAACAAAAAGCAAAAGTTCTATCTATGTTGCTTAGACACACTAGAGAATGATGGTTAATACTGTGGCCTTTAATGATAAAACAATGAAGAGGGTTAATAAAGAAGGAGATCATTTTATTTTTTGTTTTTCAGTTATTCTGTAGAATTTTCAAATTATTTTGAATTTTACTTTTGTAGTATTATTTGCTATATTTGCATATTTAATAATGGTATTGAAATTTTGGAAGTAAAAACTGTATGCTGACTTTATACATACACTTACTTTTTGTTTCAATTTTCACTAACAGTTCTGAATATGAAGATAATTCTGTGTCTTATCAAAATTATTCTGAATCAGTCAACATTTGAACTCCTTGAGCATTGTGTGATACCTCTCATAGTGTTTAGTGACACACACAAGAAATGTGATAAGGTGGTGGTTTTGCTTTAGTTTGTACTCCTGTCATTAAATTCTTTCCAGCTCTAGTTGCCTACTGTGAATAGGAACAGTCCTTGGATTCATTTTCATTGGGAGGAAATATTGTTTTCAGGTGATTTTCTGGTCTTTTAGAGCAATTCTTGAATCTGAATTTTAAGGGTGCTTTACAAACATTCTCCCCAATCTTTCCTTAAGAATTCTTTCAATTGAGGATTTTGTTCTTTTGATAAAAATAATTTATTTCCTAATTTATTGAATTCTCACATTAAAAATCAATTAAAATTCATTGTGTGCTGACAATAGCTGTTGCTTTGTGATTGGTACCTGGGGAAAAATTACATCATTCTTGTAAATTTTCATAATAAATATATAATGCATTTATTGAAGATAATGTGTCTTTCTGGGATGTTAGAAATATTCTAAAATTAAATTATGGTGAGAGTTGTACAATTTTGTACATTTATGAAAAATCATTGACTTATATACTTAAAATGAGTGCATTTTAGCAGTCGAAAGCCTTAGGCACTATGCCACCAGAGCTCCCTTATAGTAATTATCCAAAAACCAAACTCACTGCCATTGAGTCAGTCCCAACTCATAGTGATGCCTCCTGGGGTTTCCGAGGAAGTATCTCTACAGAAGTAGATTGCGCAAGCTTCCTTCTGAGGAGTGGCTGGGGGGTTTGAACCAACAGGCTTCTGCTTATCAGTAAAATGCCTTACATTAAAATAATAACTACTATATCCTTAGATAAAAATTAATTTGGCAAAGAGAGAATAGTCCTTTTAAGCAGGCTTTAAAACATTCTATGTGTAATTACATAGATGGGATTTTTTTTTAACTTAGAATACATTATAACATAATTTTAACTTATTTATCTGATTTTTTATAGCTACAGAATATTTTGTTTATGACAGTTGATGTAATTTTCCTTCCTTTTATAGAATGAAAAAATGATCGAGGATGCTTACAAAACCCTGATTAAACAATTGGAAGAACATAGAGTTTCAGCTTTAGCATCTCTTTTTAAAGATTTTACTTGGACAAGCATGATGGAAGAGGTATGAAACTTTAAAAAACTATGTTAGTTTGCACTAATCTTTTAATTATATGAAAGTCGCAAAAAATAGTAGATTTCTTTTATTTCCCTTGCCTACTTTCCCCTAGTATTAACTTCTTGGTGCATTGATCAAAACCAGGAAATAAACATTTGAATAATACTTTTAACTAACCTTCAGGCCATTTGAATTTCACTTGCTTTTCCACTAATGCCTTTGTTCTGTTTAAGAAATCTCTCCAGGATCCCACTTGGCAATTATTATTTATTTATAGTTATTTCTTTTAATTCTCTGCCAACCTGTAACAGTTTCTCAGTCTTTCTTTGACTTGTATGATCTTGACACTTTTGAAAAATATTGGTCAGGTGTTTTTTTGAATTTTCCTCAATTTGTGCTTGTCTGATGTTTTCCTATAATTAGAATGAGGGTATGAATTTTTTCCAAAAATGCTATAGATTTGAGGTTGTAACAGTGCCTCATATCAAGGGGTTCAATAATGTTAATATATCTTAATATTTGCTAAGGTGTTGCCAGCCAGCTTTCTCTACTTTAGTTATTTTTCCCTTTGTAGTTAATAAATATCTTGCATGAGATGCTGTGATAGTTGGAGCTGTGTGTCAACTTGGCTGGACCACAATTCTTTATGGTTTAAGTAATTGTGATGTGGGTTATTACAATGATGGGATCAGATGTATATGCTTTGAGCAGCCAATCCATTGAAAGGGAGTTTCCCTATGGGTGGGGCCTGCTTCCAGTATATTTATGGGCATCCTGGGAAAAGAGACACTCTTCTGTGGATCAGGATTCTATTGTGCTGCCTACAACTGTCCGTGAGTAAACAATCCACCATTCGGCCTGGAGACCTTGGATTCGTCATCTGTTGGAGTCAACAGCCAGTATGTTGTTGTTGTTGTTACGTGCCATCAAGTCAGACCTGACTCATAGCGACCCCTCCTTGGGTTTCCGTATCACTACGGAAGTATATTGCCCTACCTTATTGCCCAACCTTTCTTGGAAGGAAGGTTGGGCAATATTTTTCCTTCTAACCTTGAGCTCTTCAGCCCCTGCAGCTTCATGAGTTGGGAAAAGCCTCCAGCTTGACATTTGATCCAAGAACTTGGGACTTGCCAACTTCTGTAAGTGTGTGAGCCATTTTCCTAAGATAAATTCTCTTTTCTCTCTCTATAACCCACCAGCCACTCCTTGGAAGGAAGATGGGGCAATCTACTTCCGTAGTGATACTGCCTCAGAAACCCAAGGAGGGGTCGCTAGAAGTTGGGGCCGACTCCATGGCATATAACAACAACAACATATAAGCTTTACTGGTTTTGTTTCTCTAGAGAACCCAGTCTAACACATTTCGTACCAAGAGTGGAGTCTTGAGTCTCCTACCTGTTAGGTGAGGTGAAACACTAAAACTAGGGCATAAACTGGTTGGAACTATTTTTTGAACCTAATTCCTTAAAACAGACCCCTCTCTGTGTTTTTGTTTTGCTTGGTTTTCAAAAGTTCCAACTTAGCCCTCTGCTATCAATTGGCCTCACCATAATAATTAAGAAGCACTCAGAAATGGCCTGGGATGGCAAACCCAATGTGTGTGTGTGTGGTGGGGGGGTTTGGTCTATTTTTAGAAACTGGTCTTCCTCAGCAATGACTAAGAGGAGGGGGAGAGGGTGTAAAGGCTGCCTTAAGTGCATCTAATACTGAAACTCCTTTTCATTTGCATTCTTCTCTCCCCTCCACTCCCTGTATCCCCAGAGCTGGCTGGCCAAGTGGCCAAGTAGGTAAGGCAGTCAGACAAGATCAGAAGGCCCATGTGAGTACAAATAGCCCAGAGCCAAGCCAGGTCAGGCACACACTGGAGGTGGGAGTGACAATGAGGGTGAGGGCCGAGGGAAGGGCATCAGAATGGAAGGTATGGTACTGGGTTGATCACATCCTGGAAGAAAGGGAAAGCCAGAGCTTCCTTTGCTGAAATGCCATTGTTGGGGTCATAGTGCAGCATTTGCGACAACAAGCTTCATTCCCATTTCAAAACCCCAAGGTGTGCAAGGCAGCAAATCTCCCCACTGGCTTTAAAAACTACTATAACCTAAAATATAGTATCCTGTTTGTCAGCTTTGCTAATTGTTATTATTATCCATTAGTGGACATTGTCTATAAGATTTATTACAGATGTTTTTGCCTAATGGTGATTTTCTATTGCACTCTTTCCTTAATTGGAATTCTACTACAGAGAAGAACTATCCTAACTCTCTCATTTATTTATTTCCTTATATCCCTATGGACTAATGGATATTCATTTTACATTATAGGTTAAAACTAATATTATCATTATTTATTTTGATATTTAAAATGTTCTATGTTTGACTATTAGACTTACCTTTATGTTGGCACCTACATTCTTATGACAAGCCTCCCATCTTTTACATCCCTTTTTATTTTCTGAATCCACAAAATGTTCCAGTCTCATCTTTTGCTTTCTCTGTCCCAGCTCTGAAATTAATCAGTAACTGCATTTCTTGTTAATATTATTTCTAAAGTACTTGATCTTTTTGTTGCTCTTGTAAATGGCATTCCCTCTTTATTGTTTTTGCATATGAATGCTATAGATTTTTGCATGTAAATTTTATATCCTGATGCCTTAGTAATTTTTTCATTTTTTTAGTTTAATTGATTCTCTGAGGATTTCCACATTTGGTATCATATTGCCTATGGGTAAAGATAGTTTTAATTTTCTTTTACACATTCTTATCCCTGTAATTACTTTTTCATGTCTAATTGTATCAGTTAATAAATATACTGTGATGTTGAATGGTAGCAGAGATAGTAGACATCTTTGCCTTGTTGCTGATCTGAGTGGAAATTCCTTTATTATTTCACCAACAAATAAGATACTAGTTTTACGATGTTAAGAATATAGTCCTCAATCTCTATTTTATTTTGTTTTTATCATGAATAGGTATTGAATTTTGTCAGAGGCTTTCCCTTTCTTAAATTTTTGGGTATAATCATGTGGCTGATTTTTTTTTAACATCATTAATATAGCATACAATATTAACATATTTCCCAGTATTGAACCAATTCTGCATTTTTGGAAGGAATCCCACTTGGTTAATATATCTTATTTTCTTTACATGCTTCAATATGCATGAATGGTATCATTCTTTAATTTTCCTTCTTTGTACTGTTGATCTGATTTAGAAGGTCCGTATTTATACTCACATCATTTTAGTTATGGAATACGTAATTTGTAGAGCATTTGGACTATCTGATCTTTGAAGTTTTGGTAGAATTTTCCTGTGAAATCATCTGGACCTGGAGCTTTTTGGTGGGATAGCTGCTTAATAGCTTTCTACTTCCTTAAAGATTGTAGCCTTGTAAACCCTATGTGACAGCTCTACTTTATCCTGTGTGGTCACTATTAGTATGAATCGACAGCACACAACAATAACAACAAATCCTTTTAAAGCATGCTTGCCTTTTTAAATTGAGTCTTGAGTTAAGTGTTTGGCCCTTTTAATGGCACCTATGTCTTTTAACCTTTTGTTTGTTCCCTTTTATGCCAAATAATCCTTTAAATTTTGCATACATTGAAAGTCCTTTCCTATAGTTTGTTCAAACTGGTTCCTTTTAAAATATTTTGGAACTTAGGCTAGCTTTATTCTTTAGCTTTATCCTTTCTAGTGGTTGTTCCAATTCACTTTTTGCTAATGCCCCTCCTCTGTGTTTCCTGCAGTTTTCTCAATCTCTCTTTGGCCACCACAAAGCCTTGAAATGAGGCAGGGGTATAAGGGATTGCAAAGCTGGACTCTGTTCATTATTTATTACACACAGTTGCATGGTAACTATTCTCTCTGCTTAAGTAACTTGTAGTTATAAAAACATTTTATGTCATTGGGGATGGAGTTTTTGGGAACTTGATTACCATAGACTCTTGTCTTCAAGGATAGAGTCCAACCAAGTTGTATGTATTTTGTATGTACATACCCCTATATGCATATATTACTTACTCACTGTAGTCGAGTCAGTTCTGACTCATAGTGACTACTCCTTGGTTTTCCGATGTGGTATCTTATGAGGAATGGCTGGTGGGTTTGAACTGCCAGCCTTCTGGTTAGCAGTCAAATGCCTTAGATACTCTGCCACCATAGCTCCCATATGCATATATAGATGTATTACTCTTTTGAAAATTTATAATACAATATAAAAATATAAAAGTATTCTTTGTGTAACCTAGTGCCTCACACTACAATACAAGGTGGCTTGATTTTTAATCAATGAGTAACATTCCTGTAGTGCTAGATGTTTCAATTGTTTGAAAAATCAGCTCTTACAAATAACTCTGATGAATACCTCATTGCATAAATTTTTAAATACATTCTGTGTTACTTACATAGGCTAGAAACGTAGAACTTAAAATAGTCAATCATTAAGCATTAACACATTTAATGATAGTCATTAGTATTTCCAAATAGCTTTGTGATCAGTTTGTACCTATTTATAATCGTGTGAGTTCCACTGCTGTCCATTACCATTAAAATACTTTTTTAACTTGAAAGTTAAAATAAAACCAAAAGCAAACCCATGGCCATTGAGTCAATCCTGACTCATAACATTGCTCACTGTGTTTACAAAGTGGTGAATCTTTACGAAAGTATATTGCCCCTCTTTTTTCCATGGAGAGCCTAGTGGGTTTGAACCACCAACCTTCTGGTTAGCAGTCAAATGCCTTAGGCACTGTGCCACCAGAGCTCCTTTAAAGTAAAAATACGTTATCTGTTTTTTTTTTCTTTTATTGCTAAGGGGCTGAAATTTTTTTTCTGTTCTATTTTTATTTGTATTTAGTTTTTGAATTATCTGTTCATAATTTACACAATTAGGCACTTTCTTACTGGTTTATAAGGATCTTTGCATATTTAAATTGTGAATGGTTTCATTGACATAAGTATAATTATTTCCCCATTTTAAAATTTTACCATTTTTAATGTTAATATTTACAATTCTATGGAGGCCCATTTTGTTCCATTTTTATCTTTACAGTTTCATCTAATAAGATTACTTGTGTGTTTTGTTTTAATTTTCTGAGTTCTCTGATAATACAAATATTCTTCCATTTTTGTCTTCCATTTCTACTATTCTATTTCTGCTGTTTTATTTGCAATTATTCCTACTTTACCATGGCATTTCAAAATTTTCTTCTGTGGCAGGCATGTGAGAGTATGTCTCTGCTTAAGCAACTCTGGCCAGAAGGATCTGACATTCGACGTGTTCTTTGTGTTACGGCATGCTCACTCTCTTTGAGGATGTACTACCGCTTTTCAGAAAAGAGGAAGAAGACTCCCACTGGTCAGGTAACTAACATGCAATAGGTGTGATTTGTATACTGGGCAATACCCTGGCACTGTACTTCTGAAATTTTAACCATTTTCATCTTTCATTTGGTACTTAATCAATTATTTCTCTATTTTTTATGTAAATTTTCTAAAATAGAGTAAAAACTTGGAATTTATATTGATAAGAAAACATGTATTGTGCTGTTATATGATTTAGTATTTTTATGTATAGATGCTTTACCTTATGTTTTACTTAGTACATATTTAATCTAATTTTTCCCATCCCTCAAAAAAAGAAAACAGTACAAATGAGAAGAAAAGAATTAGCACTTTTTAGGAACCCACTACATTCTTATGTTCTAGGCTCTTTATTGGCATTGTGCCATTGAATCCTCACAACATTTCCATAGAGGTATTATTTCCCCTTGTTTCTTATGTGGAAACACTGAGTCTCAGGTTAGGTAACATTTCTGAAATCATAGGTAGAAAAACGCAATCTGAATTGAACCCTGTTCTGGCTTGTATTTGTTCCAAAATAACAAACTGTCTTTTAAGAGAATATTCCTGCTCTAGTGTCTTGGTGTCTTTCTAATTGTAGAGATACTAAAGTTCATTACCATCTTTTTGACTAATTGTGACTCATAGAGACCCTACGTACAACATGATACACAGCCCTGACCTGCACCATCCTGACAATCCTTGCTATGTTTGAGCCCATCATTGCAGCCACTCTGTCAATTCACCTCATTGAGGATCTTTCCCTTTCTCTCTGACCCTCCACTTTACCATGCATAATATTCTTCAGGGACTGGTCCCCTCGGACCACATAACCAAAGTAGTTGAGACAAACTCTGGCCATTTTTGCTTCTAAGTAGCATTCTGGGTGCACTTCTTCCAAGATAGATTTGTTCATTCTTCTGACAGGCCATGATATGTTCAGTATTCTTCACCAACATCAAGTCTTCTTTGGTCTTCCTTATTCATTGTCCAGCTTTCACATGCATATGAGGTAATTGAAAATACCATGGCTTGGGTTAGATGCACTTTAGTCTTCAAAGTAACATATTTACTCTTCAACAGTTTAAAGAGGTCTTTTGCAGCATATTTGCCAAGTGCAATATGACATCTGATTTCTTGATTGCTATTTCTGTGAGGGTTAATTGTGGAGCCAAGTAATATGAAATCTTTGACTACTTCAATCTTTTTTCCACTTACCATGGTGTTGCTTAAAGGTCCAGTTGTGAGAAGTTTTGTTTTCTTTATGTTGAGATGTAATCCATACTAAAGAATGTAGTCTATGATCTTCATCAGTAAATTCTTCAAATCATCTTCAATTTCAGCAAGCAAGGTTGTGTCATCTGCATATTGCAGGTTGTTAACAAACCTTGCTCCAATCCTGATGCCATGTTCTTCTTCATATAGTCCTGCTTTTCAAATTGTTTGCTCAGGATAGGGATTGAATAAGTATGGTGAACAAATACAACCCTGATGCATGCTGTTCCTGATTTTAAACCATACAGGATTTCCTTGTTTTGTTTGAGTGACCTCTTGGTCTATGTACAAGTTTCTCATGGGCACAATTAAGTGTTCTCGAATTCATATTCTTTGTGATGTTACTGATAATGTTATGATCTACACAGTTGAATTCCTTTGCATGCTCAAAAAAACACAGGTAAACATCTTCCTGGTATTCTTTGCTTTCAGCTAAGATCCATCTGACATCAGCAATGATATCACTCCTTCCACATCCTTTTCTGAATCCTCCTTGCATTTCTAGAAGTTCCCTTTCAGTGTACTGCTACAATCATTTTTTTAATTATTGTTAGCAAAATTTCACTTGCAAGTGATACTTTTCAACAATTTCCACATTCTGTTGGTCACGATTTTTGTAATAGACACAAATATGGATCCTTCCAGTCAGTTGGCCAGGTAGCTATCTTACAAATTTCCTGGCATAAATGAGTAAGCACCTCTAGAGCTGCATCTGTTTGTTGAAACATCTCAATGGGTATTCTGTCAACTCCCAGAGCCTTGTTTTTCACCAATTCCTTCAGTGCAGCTTGGATTTCTTCTTTCAGTATCATTGTTTCTTGATCACATATTATCTCCTGAAAGGAGTGAACGTTTACTAATTATTTTCATACAGTAACTCTGTGCACCACCACTTGTCTGTCAATTTGTTGTACTGTGGTGGCTTGCATGTTGTTGTTAGGCTGGAGGCTATGACACTGGTACTTCAAATACCAGAACTGTCACTGATACTGGACAGGTTTCAGTGGAGATTCCAGACTAAGAGAGACTTGGAAGAAGGAAGGGGCCATCCACTTCTCAAAGAATTGCCCAGATAAAATCTTAGAATAGCAGTGAAACACTGTTTGATAAATTACTGGAGAACTTTGTGAATAGCCTTGAAACATTGTCTGATATAGTGCCAGAAGATGAGACCCTCAAATCAGAAGGCACTCATAATATGACTGCTGAAGAGCTGTCTCCTCAAATTAGAGTCAACCTTAATGATATGGATGGAGTAAAGCTTTTGGGCCTTCCATTTGCTAATGGGGTATGGTTCAAAATGGGAAGAAACAGCTGCAAATATCCATTAATAATCAGAATGTGGAATGTAGGAAATATGAATGTTGGAATTAGAAGTTGTCAGAAATGAAATGAAATGCATAAAGATCAATATCCTAGGCATTAGTGTGTTGAAATGGACTGGGTTTTGTCCATTTTTTTATCAGACAATCATATGATCTGTTATGCTGGGAATGATAAATTGAAGAGGAATGGCGTGGCATTCATCATCACAAAGAAATTTCAACATCTATCCTGAAGTACAGTGTTATGAGTGAGATAGGATAATATCCATACACCTACAAGGAAGACCAGTTAACACTACTAATATCCAAATTTATGCACCAATCACCAAAGCCAAAAATGAAGAAATTGAACATCTTTAGCAATTTCTACAGCCTGAAATTGACCAAACATGCAATCAAGGTGTCTTAATTATTACTGATGATTGCAACATGTAAGTTGGAAACAAAGAAGAATCATTGGTAGTTGGAAAATATGGACTTTGTGATAGAAATGATGCCAGAGATCACACGATAGAATTTTTTAAGACCAACAGCTTATTCATTCCAAATACTATTTTTCAACAATATAAACAGTGGCTATAAACATGGACTTTGCCAGATGGAATACACAGAAATAAGCTGACTACACTTGTGGAAAGAGGCAATGGAGAAGCTCAAATCTTCTGTCTAAACAAGGCCAGGAGCTGACTATGGAACAGACCATTAGTTGCTCATACGCAAGTTCAAGTTGCAGCTGAAGAAAATTAAAACAAGTCCACAAGAGCCAAAACATGACCTTGATTGTATCCCACCTGAATTTACAGATCATCTGAACAATAGATTTGATGTATTGAACACCAATGATAGAAAACCGGATGAGCTGTGTGATGACATCAACAATGTCATACATGAAGAAAGCAAAAAGTCATTAAAAAGACAGCAAGGGGAGAAAAGACCAAAATGGATGCCAGAAGAGGCTCTGAAACTTGCTTTTGTTTGAAGAGTAGCTAAAGCATATGGAAGAAATGACAACAAAAAAAAAAGTGAACAGGGACTTCCGGTAAGATGGAGTAATAGGCAGACAGGTGACACAGACCCTCTTCAACAAAGAAAAGAAAAACCAATTGAAGAGATACAGAAGATAATCCTGGAACCTTGAACTTTGAAAGGAACTATACAAAAGTGGATTAGGCACCAACTAGTGGAAAAACCTAAATGAAAACATTGAGTACAGAGATGGTCGGAGCTGTGGACTGTCAGCTACTCTGACAAGACCAACAGCCTGAATATTTCCAAGCTGTATTGGGACCTGAGAATTGACCTAAAGATCGCTCCTGGTCACCAAGGGGAGCAGGAACAAATGCTCTAGTGTTCTATGACTAGGAAGGGAAACAGCAAGGAGGGAGACAACCTGAGCTGTGGACTTTCTGCTGTCCAGAGGGCACAGCCATATTGATTGTTTACATGTGGCAGCCATTTTGGATATTTAAAGTGACCAAGGGCGCAGCCATTTTGAATGTTTACAAGTGGCAACCATATTGGATTTTAAAGTGATAGCATTCTCATTCGGATTACAGGGACCTAAGAACAGGCTCTGTTTAACAGGGTTGGCAAGGACATACGAGAGGCTGACAACAAGAAAAGAGACAGGTAGTGAATGTGTAAGTGCTGTCAATGAGTGAATAGAGGAGCACAGCACAGTACCCTGCCTGTATAGATAACATACAAACAAATCAAAGTGAAAATTTTGGGAAAGTCATTCCAACATATAATCACCAATTAAATATAAACACAAAAACGTCACAATGCCTCAGAGACAACAGAGCATCACAGTCCACACAAAGAAGCAAGATAAAGCAAGAGAAACAAGGGACCAACATACAGACCCAAAACACTGAGGAAGATGCAGCATTGGAACTCCCTGATAAGAAGAATTATCTTTAGGTATCTTCAAAGGATTGAGAGACAGACCAAGGAAAACACAGACAAAACCCTAGAAGAATTTTGGAAGAAAACACAAGAACAAAATGACAAAATCAATGAAAAATTAGAAATGATTCTAAATCTACAGATAGAAATCCAGAAGATTAATACTAAATTGTCAGAAATAGATAACACATTGAAAAGGCAAAGGAGTAGAATTGATGCAATGGAAGACAAAATTAATGAGATTGAAGACAAATACCTGAATACTTCTTTGGAAAGGGATTAATCAGAAAAAAAAAGATCAAAACAAAATGAAGAAAGCCTAAGGTTCATGTGGGATACCATCAAAAGGAATAACATATGTGTCATTGGAATTCCAGAACAGGAAGAGAAAAATAAAACTACTGAGAAAATTGTCCAAGATTTGTTGGAAGAGAACTTCCCTGATATGGGAAAAGATGAGAATATATCCATCCAGGAAGTTCAATGAACCCAAAAAGGATAGACCCCAAAGGAAAAACACCAATACATATTATCATCAAACTCACCAAAACCAAAGACAATGAAAGAATCATGAGAGCAGTATGGGAAAAACGAAAAGTTACCTACAAGGGGAAACCAATAAGACTAAGGTCAGATTTCTCAACAGAAACCCTGCAGGCGAGAAGACAGTGGGATGGTATATATAAAACACTGAAAGAGAAAAATTTCCAACCAAGAATTATGTACCCAGAAAAATGGTCCCTCAAATATGGTGGTGAAATTAGGACATTTCCAGATAAAACACTGCATAATATGGATGAACTTGGAGGACATTATGCTGAGGGAAATAAGTTTATCTCAGAAGGACAAATACAGTATTAGCTCGTTATTGTGGAGGGTCAAGGAAAGGTTTATATATGGAGGGAAACTTTCTTTGTTGGTTGCCAGGCATGGGAGGGGAGGGAAGGGAACACTGCAAACAAACAAACAAACAAAAAATGCATTAACCCATGTCACTTTAGTTTTGTGTATTTCACTGTACATAAATTATATTACAATAAAATGCTTTTAAAAAAAGTGAACAGAAGATTTCAAAGAGCAGCTCAAGAAGACAAAGTCAATTATTACAATGAAATGTGCCAAGTCACAGAATTAGAAAACCAAAAGGGGAAGGACACACTTGGCATTTCTCAAGCTGAAAGAACTAAAGAAACAATTCAAGCCTTGAGTTACAATTTTGAAGGATATTACAGGCAAAATATTCATAATTTGTACATTCTGTGTTCTGTTTATTAATAAATACTTGTAGCTGTTTCTTCCCAGTTTGAGTCATTCCCCATTAACAAATTAAGGTCTCCATTAACATCATTAAGGTTGAATCTACTTTGAGGAAGCAGCTCTTCACCAATTTTATTTTGAGTGCCTTCTAATCTGAGGGGCTCATCTTCCAGCATTAAATCAGACAATATTTCACCATTGTTCATAAAGTTTTCCAGTAACATATCAGGCATTATTTCATTCCCATCCATAAGGTTTTCAGTGACCATTTCTTTCAGAAGTGGATGGCTCTGTCCTTCTTTCCATTCTGTCTTTTTCTGGAAGCTCCATTGAAACCTTTATACCTTGGGTGATGCTGCTGGTATTCAAAATGCATGTGGCATAGCTTCCAGCCTCAAAGCAATATGCAAGCCACTAGAGTATGACAAAGTGACAGGTAAGTTTTGATAATGGGCCATGTTAAGAATGTGCTCACTAGTAGGGAATCTCTCCCCAGCTAAGCATTAATCCTTAGATATATGTGGTCATACATATTCACACACATTTTTACACTTTCTATTTTGTTGTATACCATGAGTGCTGGGGAATATTGGCTGAAAATTCCTATTTAAAAAAAAAAATGTATTTCGTCTCTTTGTTGCACTATTTCAGAATTGGACAGGGCTTATCTGTTTTTCCTAGCTTCTTTTATATTTTGTTTTCCCATATCTGTTTGAATTTTTATTAGTGAAACATTTCCACATGATTGTTGTTGTGTTGTTAGATGCCATCAAGTTGGTTCCTACTCATAGTGACCCTATGTACAACAGAACAAAACACTGCCCTGTCCTTCTCCAGCTTCACAATCCTTGCTGTAACTGAGCCCATCATTGCAGCCACTATATCAATCCACCTCATCAAGAGCCTTCCCCTTTTTCACTGATGTTCCACTTTACCAAGCATGATATTCTTCTCCAGGGAATGGCCACTTCTGATCACATGACCAAAGTAGGTGAGATGAAGTTTGGCCATTCTCACTTCCAAGGAGCATTCTGCATGCAGTTCTTCCAGGACAGATTTGTTAGTTCTTCTGGTAGGCCATGGTACATTCAGTATTCTTTGCAACACCACAACTCAAAAGCATTGTCTCTTCTTTGATCTTCCTTATTCACTGTCAATCTCTCACATGCCTAGAAGGCTATTGAAAATACCATGGCCTGGATTAGGCACACTGTAATCTTCAAAGAGACATCTTTGCTCTTCAGCACTTTAAAGGGGTCTTTTGCAGCAGATTTTCCCAGTGCAATATGTAGCCTGATTTCTTGATGGCTGCTTCCATTGGTGTTGATTGTGGAACTAAGCAATATGAAATCTTCAACCTTCTCTCCATTTATCATGATCCTACTTGGTCCAATTATGAGGATTTTTGTTTGCTTTATGTTGAGGTGTAATCCATATTGCAGACTGTAGTCTTTAATCTCCATCAGAAAGTGCTTCAAGTCATCTTCACTTTGAGCAAGCAAGGATGTGTCATCTGCATATCACAGGTTATTAATGACTCTTCATCCAACTTTGATACTGCATTCTTCTGTATATAGTCCAGCTTCTCAAATTATTTGCTCAGCATAGAGATTGAATAACTATGGTGAAAGAATCCAACCCATATGCACTCCCTTCCTGATTTTAAACCATGCAGTATTCCCTTGTTCTGTTTGAATGACAGCCTCCTGGTCTTTGTCCAGGTTTCTCATGAGCACAATTAAATGTTATGGAATTCCTACTCTTCTCAATATTATCTGTAATTTGTTGTGATCCATACAGTTGAATGCCTTTGCATAGTCAATAAAACATAGGTAAACATCTTTCTGGTATTCTTTGTTTTCAGCCAAGATCCATCTATCTGACATTAGCAATGATATACCTTGTGCCACATCCTTTTCTGAATCCAGGTTGCATATCTGGAAGTTCCCTGTGAATATATTGCTGCAATTTGAATTACCTTCAGCAAAATTTTATTTGCATGTGATATTAATGATACTGTTTGGTAATTTCCACATTCTGTGGGATCACTTTTGTACATGATTAGTTCATGCCATTTTCACTTTTTTTTTTTTTTTTAATGCTACTAAGCCAAATCTAGGAGCTCTGGTAGTGTAGTGCCTATGACATTTGACTGCCAACCAGAAGGCTGGCAGTTCAAACCTACCAGCCACTCCTCAGAGGTAAGATTGAGCAATCTACTTTCATAGTGATACCACATCAGAAACCCAAGGAGGGGTCGCTGAGTCGGATCTGACTCAACAGCAGTGAGTTGAGTTGTTGTTTTAAGCCAAATCTATGTCTCTGGAATTTCTAATCATTGGACCACTTTTGGCACCCTAAAGATAACCTGGGCCTCAGGCCTAAGGCAGTCACCTACCACACACAATGCTGTCGTTTAGAGCCCGACAGAGAGCCGGCCGTCTCTTTCTCAGAAGGAAGATGGGGCAGTCTACTTCCATAGTGATACTGCCTCAGAAACCCAAGAAGGGGTCACTAGGAGTCGGGTCCGACTAGACAGCACATAACAACAACAACAATAAAGATAACCTGAGTCAGTGTTACTCTCAATTCAGTGGCAACCCTGCAGATCTTTAAAGATAGCTAGGAGATCTTTGTCATGTGATAAGAAATATGACCACTTACTTCATCTTTTTCTCATTGGACGTGTTCTTCAGATATGTTGCCCTCCTGGTTACTTCATACTGGTGATTTTAAATATCACTGTAAAAATACGATGCCTCAAATAGAATGCTGCTTTTTGGTCAGCCCATTTAAATTTGACTTAATGGAAACTCCTAAAAAATGTTGTATGCAAACAGTTGTTAAGCCAGAAATTGCTTGTGTTTCTTCCTCAACTTTTGTATAAATTGAAATGTTTATAAATGGAGGGAAGGACTTCCTCAAAAGGGTAGACTGGAAAAATGTAATAATACATGATTCCATGCAAGGAACTTTTGCTGTTCTGCCTGTATATTGTGGTGTTTCAAAGCTGTTCTCTAGCTTACCTTCCATATTTTTTTTCAGGGAGTCAGCAATTGCTTAGCCCTGCAGGAGGCGGAAGATTTGTGTAGAATGTATTGCCTCAGTGTGGCTTTTCTACTCCACTTACCGCTTTCTCAAAGAGCTCAAGCTAGATTCATTACTTCCCATTGGATTAAGGAGACACATACTTTCTTTAAAATGGTAACATATCCTTTATTTATTTGTTTGTTTTGTTTATTTTAATGATTTGATATATTAAAAACCATAGTCACCTTCAAAAGTATGTGTATAGTGGAACAATGTCAACCTTTGTGGGCTTTAAGGTTTTATGTCCTAAATCAATCATTTTCTGGATTTTAACAGTTATATTTGGTAGTAGTAATGAAAAGCATGATACATACCTAACCTATGGGGAAAAGTCTCCCCATTTTGTCTTCTTTAAATCTCTAACATGATCAGGTTTTTGTATCATCAGCAATAGAAGATTGTTTGACAGCTATTGTGTTCTGTTCTTGAGAGGAACTAAAGAAATCAATATATTAGTTTGTTGCTTTTGTCCATTTTGAAGGATATTGAGAGAAATTTGGAGACTGTAGGAAAATATAAAACAAAAACAAAAGAAAAAACTCAATCAGAGTTCAACTACTCTAATTAGTGCTGGTAGTTGTTAATGTTTTGATTTTATATTTATTTTAAATGCATAGATCTGCTTTTGTTATGGTTCCTTACATTAGAATAATCATTCAAAATATAAATTTTTTTTCCACATATTTTTCTATTTTCTTTCACATTCTTGGTAAATATTTTTTTTTTTCTTTTTTATGGCTATAATTATCTTTTGGTGGATGTGTTATGGGCTTACTTACCTTTTCTTTTATTATAGTTTGTTAGGAGGACTTAGTTATATTATAAATGCTATCATTATCTAGGGTCTTTGAAAGTCTTTCCTTTTAATTTGGGACCATTGACTTCGGCAATAGCAGAAATGGTACTAGTAGATTAATTGACATAGAGATATTTTCAGGAGTCTGATACATGTCATCAGAATGCTAAAGGAAAGCATTTTATAACCAGTCAGCAATCCAGTCCACAAATATTAATCTGCATGCATTGTGCTAAGCACTGGAAATACAATAAGAAAAGCACAGATACATTTATCTAACTCACCCCATCCCCTTCATGGAGCTGTATTTTGTGAGGAAGACAGATACTGAATTTTTTAAATTACTGTGAAGGAGTAACTGGGCTTCAGAACCTAACCCAACCCAATCTTGAGAGAATGGCTTCTCAAGAAATCAGAGAAATTGAGTGACCAAAGTCCTAAACGATGACCAGGAGTTAACTAGATGAAGAGAGGATGAAGACTGGGTTTCCAGAGATGAAACAGCATGTATGAACATTTTTAGTATGGTATGAGCAAGGGAATGAGATAAAGACAGTGTATCTGGAATGGTGAAAACATGGGGAGAGTGACAAAGCTAAAGCTAAAGAAGCAGGCAGGAAACAAATTATATAAACACTATATATAGGCCTATGAAAGGAGCTCTGAGGGTGTAGTGTTTAAGACATTTGGCTGCTAACCAAAAGGTTGTGATTGAGTCCACCAGCTTCTCTGAGGAAGAAAGATGAGGCAGTATGCTTCCGTAAAGATTTACAGTCTTAGAAACCCAACGGGGGTCACTATGAGTCAGAATCAACTTGATGGCAGTGATTTTTTTTTTTTTTTTTTAGTTTATAGGCCTTTGAAGAGACTGGATATGTAACTTGATCATGAGCACAATGAGAAGCCACTGGAGGTTTTTAAGTAGATAAGTGACATTTTCTTTTGTTATTAATAAATTCTCTGGTTGTAAGTGGAGAGTTCTTTTTAGAGTCAAAACAGTAGACTTTAGAAACCATTTAGGTGACTTTTATCTTAGTTCATATGACTGGTGGTAGTAGTGGAAACAGACTAAGGATTAGGAGAGTTGGGATGAATAGCAGTGGGCAAGTTGAAGAGTTATTTAAGGTATAGAATTGATAAGTGTAGTGATTGAATATGGGACATGAGGGAAAGAGATGAGTCAGGTTGACTCCTAGGTTTCTGGTTTGAACATTTGTGTGCATACTGCCATTGTAGGAAAGACCTTTTTGGGGTGGTAGATTTTGAGTTCGATATTGGAAAGATGGAATTTGAGATACCAATGAGATTTTCAAATACCTAGTAGGAGTATGAAGAGATATCTAGTTAGCAGTTTGAAAACTAGTCTGGAGTTTAGGAGAATGAAATGGGATTTCAGGTGGATTACAGAATTGAAGAAGGTGGAAGACTGAAAATAATATATTGAATTTAATGGAGTTGGGGTCTTTATTAAAAGACATATTAGTACAGTGGTGAGGAACAAAATATATTGGAATAGTGCATGGAAAGAGACTGGTGAATGACCGGGAGAAAATAGGGATAAACAGACGTTTGAGTTAAAGGTAACAAAAGTAAATATTATCACATACACAATCATGCAATAACAGTAATAACAGTAATCTACAATGGGATACATAGATACTCAAGCTGAACAGAGGTGGGAAGGCAAATGGAACTATACCCACAAATATATGTAGGTTTGACAGGATATTTCTACGTAGATATTTATATGCAAATATATCCATGAATATAATAGAGCATAGTAAATATAGTTAGGAAAACTTCTTAGCCACATCAAACACCTTGAGGGAATTAGTCACTGGGCTTGAGAACTCAGGACCACAGTCTCAGGATATATTAAGGTCAGTTGGCATAACAGTCACAAAGACAATGTTCTACATCCCACTTTGGGAATACCAACTGGAATGTTAAAAACTTGTAAGGGGCCATCTAAGGTACAACAACTATTTGTCTCTCCCCATCTAGAGCAAAGAAAAGTGAAGAAAATCAAAGACACAGCAAACAATTAGTCCAAATGACTGATGGAGCATGTGAACCCCAGACTCCATGACCCTAAGACCAGGAGAACTAGATGGTGGCTAGCTACCACTGCTAATTTCTCTGAAAGGGATCAGAATAGATAGGTCATGGAGAAGATGTGGAACAGAACTCAAAATCATTAAAAAAAAAAAAAAAAAAAAGGCTTACTGGTCTGACTGAGATCGATGGAACCCCTGAAACTATGGCCCTTAGACATTCTTCAGTCCCGGAACTGAACTCACCCAACTTTCAGACAAACAATCAACAGACGAGAAGAGATACAGAACAAAGTTGAGGGAAAAAATGGACCAATTAAGAATATTAAGGACACTCTGTAGGACTTCTGTTGTACATAGGGATAACATTTGGAGCCAACTCAATGGCACCTAACAGCAGCAAGAGTGTTTTTTAAATGGTTCAAAGATTGAGCATGTTTAAATGCTGACTGGAAAAGCTAAGAGGGGAGAGGTTGAGAATACAGAAAAAATAGGCAAGAACGAGTGATAGAGAGCATAACTCTATATAACAGTCACCACTATTTTCACAGGAGGTAATAAGAATGGTACCCCTTTGTTTATGATATGGATTGGAGGGTCAATTGTATAGTTCCCCTGTGCTGGGTTTAGCTTTCTTTGTGACTTCACAGATAGAGTCATATGCTACAAATTATGTAGAAAAAGTAAGCCCAGAAGTTTAAGGACAATGAAATATTTAGGAATGTTGTTGCTGTTGCTGTTAGGTGCCGTTGAGTCAGCTCCAACTCATAGCAACCCTATGTACAACAGAACAAAACACTGCCTGGTCCTGTGCCAGCCTCACAATCCTTTCTATACCTGAGCCCATCGCTGCAGCCACAGTGTCAATTCATCTCATTGAAGGCCTTCTCCTTTTGTCTTGACCCTCCACTCTACCAAGTATGATATCCTTCTCCAGGGAATGGTCTTTCTCACAACATGATCAAAGTAGGTGAAACGAAGTCTGGCGATTCTCGCTTCCAAGGAGCGTTCTGGCTGTGCTTCTTCCAGGAGAAATTTGTTAGTTCTTTTAGCAGTACATGGTACTTTTAATATTCTTCACCAGCACCACAACTTAAAAGCATCAACTCTTCCTTGGTCTTCCTTATTCACTGTCTATCTCTCACATGAAAATGAGGCTATTGAAAATACCATGGCTTGCATTAGGCAAACCTTAATCTTCAGAGACATCTTCGCTCTTCAGCACCTTAAAGAGGTCTTGTGCAGAAGATTTGACCAATGCAATATATCATCTGATGTCTTGACTGCTGCTTTCATTAGTGTTGATTGTGGAACCAAGTAATATGAAGTATTTGACAACTTCAGTCTTCTCTCCATTTATCATGATGCTGCTTATTGGTCCATTTGTGAGGATTTTTGTTTTCTTTATGTTGAGATGTAATTCATACTGTAGACTGGTGTCTTTAATCTTCATCAGTAAGTGCTTCAAGTCATCTTTCAGCAAGCAAAGTTGTGTCATCTGCATTTTGAAGGTTGTTAATGAGTCTTCCTCCAATCTTGATGCCACAATCTTCTTCATATAGTCCAGCTTCTTGGATTATTTCCTCAGCATACAGATTGAATAAGTATGGTGAAAGCATATAATCCTGAATAAGTATGGTGAAATCATAGAGTCCTGAAGCATTCCCTTCTTGATTTTAAACTGTGCAGTATCCCCTTTTTCTGTTTGAACAACAGCTTCCTAGTCTATGTACAGGTTCCTCATGAGCACAATTAAGTGGTCTGGAATTCCGATTCTTCTCAGTGTTATCCATAATTTGTTATGATCCACACAATCCAATGCTTTTGCATACTCAATAAAACATAAGTAAACATCTTTCTGGTATTCTTTGTTTTCAACCAAGATCCATCTGACATCAACAACGATATCCTTCCTTCCATGTCCTCTTCTGAATGCAGCTTGCATTTCTGGAAGTTCTCTGTCAGTATACTGCTGCAATCGTTTTTTTCATTATCTTCAGCAAGATTTTACTTGCATGTGCTATTAATGATACTGTTCAATAATTTCCCCATTCTGTAGGATCACCTTTCTTTAGAATGGGTACAAATATGGATCTCTTCCAGTCAGTTGGCCATGTAGCTGTCTTCCACATTTCTTGGAATAGATGGGTGATAGTCATTGGAAATTGTGGCAGAGCAATCTATATTGAGAAACAAAGTGATACATGCCCTGCCTAGAAATTTGACGGCTCATTTGAAATTTGTGTGACTAAAAAAATTACATG